TTTCAGAGATCGAGAGCTCCAATGAAGCTGTCCAAAACCTCTGGGAGATAAACCAGCAATGATGTTTAAACATCTGGACAATCAGGGACAAATAAATTATACAAACTCAGTATTCACACACACAGCCATAAATCTTATAAATAAACCTGAAACAAAATGAAACATCTTTTTAAAAAAATGTGTGCAGCAGGTGGTTTGCTATATACAGGAATAATATAGGGGAGCTACAGCTTTTATTATGGGAGGTTTTGATTTATTAGACCTACTTGATAAGAAAAAAAAACATCCTATCCAATCAAAATCAACCTCCATTAATCAACTGATGAATCGTCTTTAATGGGGTCTTTGATAACAAGCAGATAAAGAGTTGCAATTTATCTTTAAATTGGTAGCTGCACCATCACAGCAAGTCCTTCAGTTATTTTAAGAGAATAAACAAAAAGTCTGCCACCTAGTGGAGGAGCATGGGAGAGCCTGGTTCCCAGGGGCTCACAGGAAGACAAACTCCTCACTGCTCCTTCTGGTGTTACTCCTGCTCAGTGGTCCTGGAGGCAGAATGTGGGCCAGGGGTCCACTGTGGTTGCTGCTGGGGCCCTCAAGTCCATAGTCCTGCCCCTGCCCCTCGACGAAGGTAAAGATGGGGTATTTCTCCTTAGATGAGGATATAGCCTGGATGGAGAACAATATTAGAGAAAATAAAACCTAAATAGGAAAAGGAATGACAAACGGGCCTGACACACAAAAATAAGAGTATTAAAAAAGGTTATAATTAGGGCTGGGTATTTTCGCCAAAGTCCTGATTCATACAGTTCTAAATCGATTAATTTCGATTCGATCTGTTTTTACAATGAAAGTGGTTCAACTGTGTTTCAAAATACTCATGTCTTTTATTTTTCCTGTCATGTTAAACACAAAGTGCAAACTTGTAAATCGGACAGTTTAAACTTGAGATGTGAACAAAACTGTCTCAAAAGTGCAACCTTGTTTGTGAAAAGTGAAAAAGTGAAGCCTCACTCGAGCAAGCAGACATGCATGAGCTGCATTATCTTTGCTGCACAAACCATATTTGCAGCGTTGTCTGTAACAACTACAGGGTGTTTGCTGGTCAGCCCCCATTTGTTAAAGTCTTCAGTCAACCTATTGGGTATATTTGCAGCTGTCTGGCTTTAATTAATCTTGAGTTCATTTTTTCTGCTCAGTTGAATGTGAACGTTACGCGTGTCACTATAAAACAAATCAATCTCATTTCCTAGACATTGATTTTGCAAAAATGTAAAGGAATTGATTCAAAATTGATTTTTTTACCCATCCTTAGTTATAATAATTACCAAGCATAAAAATTTTAACTATAAACATAAAGTAATGCATAATTGTGAGGGAAAAAAGGGTTTAAAGGGGTAAAAACTGAGCTTCTTATAAGTAGTTAAAAAAACTCACTGTGCTGACAGCAGAACATAAAGATTCAAAGTCTTTCTTGTTCTTGGCATAGAAGCCGATGGTGCAGCTGGGATCCATGCGGCTGAAGGGCATCTTTTTAGGAGAGCTGCAGTGGAACGACTGCAGAGGGATACAAGGTGATGTACATCACAAGAACCGAGTCAAATGGTGGGAAACTATATCTTATTACTGTAGGAGCAGATTGAATTTTAGATTCTGCAGTGTAAGATAAACGTTAGGACCCTGAGGGGGAAAGACATGACAACTAACCTCAAGTGAGAAGTCTGCTTGAGCGACGTCGACGGTCGGCTGGCAGAGGTGAGGGTCCAGATAGAGCAGCTGGTCATCTGAACATGATAAAAAAAAGTCACAGTTTTTCAGGTGAAGATTATTCAAAGTCAACAAACATCACAATGCAAAAACAATCTAGAAATACAAAAGCAGAAGTACAAATTTACTTATGTATCTACCCTTAATTTGAGTAGGTAAAAAAGATGGATTTGCCAATTAAAGGAGTACCATATTTTCGGACTATAAGCCACAACTTTTTTCCCATTTTTCGACCTTGCGGCTTATATAACAATGCAGCTTATCTATAGACTTTTACAGCTAACGGCCACTAGGGTAATACCTTAAAGGAATAGTACACCCAAAACATGATTAGCCTTCATTTTCTACTCACCCCCATGCTGAACAACACTCTGGAGTACTTTTTTGATATCTCAAATGCATCTGGAGATCTGGGAGGCTTCTTGCTGTCTGCTGACATTCAAATAATGGAGGTCTATGGTGCCCGAGACAGAAAGGTCCATAAAAGTCCACAAAAAACGTGTCAATATTCCTCCATACTGCTCGTCCAATGTATTCCAAGTGTCCTGAGTGGGTAGCATCCAGAATTTACTCAAAACGAAGTCATTTAGAATGTTTTTAGAGCATAAACAGTAGTGTATAGGATTTCCTGAAAGCGCGCGCCTGCGAGTTCACGACGTTACGGAAGCCGGCAGACCAAACCAGATGAAAGTGCGCATTCAGCTCGTTAAAGAACTCATGCTCTTCCTCAACACTGAAGTCCTCAGACATTTTTCTTTCGTTGTTTCTTTCTTTGCACAGGTAAACAGCACATTTCTTCTTCTACGCTTGCATTATCGGCAGAGCAGACGCTGAATGCGCACTTTCATCTGGTTTGGTGTGCCGGCTTCCGTAGCGTCGTGAACGCGCTTTCAGGAAATCCTATACACTACTGTTTATGCTCTAAAAACATTCTAAATGACTTCGTTTCGAGTAAATTCTGGATGCTACCCACTCAGGACACTTGGAATACATTGGACGACCAGTATGGAGGAATATTGACACGTTTTTTGTGGACTTTTATGGACCTTTCTGCCTCGGGCGCCATAGACCTCCATTATTTGAATGTCAGCAGACAGCAAGAAGCCTCCCAGATCTCCAGATGCATTTGAGATATCAAAAAAGTACTCCAGAGTGTTGTTCAGCATGGGGGTGAGTAGAAAATGAAGGCTAATCATGTTTTGGGTGTACTATTCCTTTAATCTATGGATTTTACCATCCACCATGTTGACGTCACATTTGCTTCAACACACAAGTACAGTAGCCGCACGCGCAGGAATGCAGAGGTCCTCTGGAAGCAGACTTCTACCGCGAGTGGTACGAGACAGAACGACAGCGAGAAAGACGGACATTGCGAGCGCAAGACAGGGCTTGTATATGTATAAATCATGCAATTTAGCTTCTGCGGCTTATATTCAGGTGCGGCTAATAGTCCAAAAATTACGGTAGTTTTAATTCTTAGAATAAGATAATTAGATAATATGCACTTAAAATGTAAATTGTCCTGTTCCGTTGGTAAAGTGTTTCCCTAACCTCCTCAAGTCAATGAAAAATGCACATATTTTAAGAAAAAAATACTTATTTAGATTTGAATTTTTTGCAGCGCAGCTTTGCCTCAGCTCTTTGGGATTTAGTCTTCCTTTGATGTGATCATTTAAGCAGCAGCTGGATCTCACCTTGGAAGCCGATAAAGTACAGCGAGTGCTTTGGTTTCCCTCCAATTACTCCGATACAACAGTCCAGCTTCAGGATGTTCTGAAGTGGAACACAAGTGCTTTCAGAATATGATGGAGCATTTTTAGCAAGCAGTGAGTGAATGAGGTGTTTGGTTGGTCAGAATATTCAGACCTTGACGCACTCGATGTAGGACGGGTTGAGGGCTTCTCCTCCGAGTCGGACCGGCACCAGAATGATAACAGACTTCCAGGCTTGGTTGGATGGGTCAGCAGGTGTTAGTGACGGATCACAAAGACGCAACACGTCCTCTTTGTACACTTTGTACCAGGATAAAGATATTAAAGAAAAGAAGAAAAAAATTCTGCTGTAAAAATGAAAAACATTTACAAGAAAAGAAGAGAAAAAAAATCCCTGTGCATTAAACCTTACCTGTACAGTCCTGAGCAACATATACCGCTAGGTTTTGTGCCACAGAGTTTTTGGCCACAGCTTTCCTGCAAACACCAAACAAAAACAGGCCTTTAACTGACTGCAGGATATTTAAATAGTACTGATCCAAACATAGAGCACTTACCGAAGTATATGTGCCACTATGGAGGGCCCATACCAGTCGCCAGCTTTCTTCCCTGAACTTTTGCCTATTTCCACCAGCTGGTGGACCCCGAAAGGTGCTGGAGGTTGATCTCCAAACCAGGTAATTAGCTTGGAGTGGATGGGCTCAGCCTGCTGGTCCTTTGCACTATCTGGTCTTTTTCTCGGGCAGAATTTGGGTGCCTGACTGCTGGCAGGGATTTTCTCTGGGGTGCTGGATCCCCGCAAAGATCCAAAGGAAGGGATGGGGACCCCTCCAGCCCGTACTGGGGAACGAGGGCGGAACACCTCAAAGTCCACATCAGTTAGCTGCTGAGCATCTGGCCAGGCCCAATCTATGACAGGAACAAAAAAAAAAAAAACAACAACTCAGAAATAGTAATCTAAATTTAGGACAACCATTCAGAGTTTTATTTTTTACAAATACAGAAACTTATCTGCAAAAATCATCTGTTGACTGTTGTGTTTTTCAAACATTCTGACCGTTTTACAAAAATGTGAGCATAGCAATCAATCAACAAAACATTTACTTAATTGTAATGATAAATAGCTTGTATATGTAAATTTTTAACTTGGGAATGCCAGTTATTTTATCTGTTATAGTAATTCCAGCAGGAGGCGATAAAATCTATAATTATCTAATGAATATTCTCAACATGCTGCAAATGGCTAAAGTCGTCTTAGAGCCAAGGATCCAGCAAAGAACAGCAGTTGTAAATCCCGCTTTTTGCACTGTACCTTTAAGCCCAATGAAACAGCGCTAATATAATGCTACGTTCACACCAAACGAAGCAAAGGCAGCAGAAGCAGCTAGTTTACAAGCAAAGTCAATGGTTGATGCTCATCAAGGCACAGAGCGTTTTGAGCAGCTGAAGCAGTGCGTCGTGGCGTTTGCAGTGCGTTCCGCGCCAATCACTGAAGACGGTCCGTTGTACACGATTTGTTCCTGACAGGTCAATCATGGTCATCTGCTTGTCCCTCCCCCCTGTGCGTGTACCCTGACACATGAACGAATCGACCCCCTAATGCTCGTGCAGGACGCCCTCGCTGGAAGCTAGCTACTGTTATGCTACGTTCACACCTAAAGCAGAAAAAACGAGCGTGTTGTTTCATTTTTGATGCTTGTACAAGTTTAGTTCTGAAGCGCGGCCGAAGCATCTTTGCTGCCCTGGCTGCGCGATGGAAAAAGTGGCTCTGATGCACGTTGGGTAGAGCTACCCTATCCTTTCTTTGCCTGTAACAATGGCAGCTATATTTGCTGTGATCAGTGGGTAAAAAGTAGTTTAAATCTATTTTGAAGTTACAAAGTCCACCTGAAAACATTGTCTGTGCAGTCAGTTCATCCAGATTACCATCCTGGTTTCAAATATTATTTGTTTTGGAGCTGCTCAGACCCCCACATACCGGCAGTGCTCTGTCACTAGGAATCTCATTCAACAGCAGCCTCTGGCCCGATCGCCTCCCCACGGTTTGCCACGGCGGCTGGAAGGCGATTTTCATGTACATAATCCAAACTGCAGGCACCATGATAATAAAAGCGAACCTTTTTTTCTACATTTTAAGTTAATTTAGGCGTTAATAAACTGTTTCAGAGGAGTGATCATAGCGCTCTGCATCATCAGTGCTGCCTGTCTCCCTGTCAGCTCTGAGATCAGCAACATGCTGCTTCAGCTGCTCTAGATGCGCTGCAGACAGCATGCGCCTTCATGTGTTTTCAAGGAGTGGTCTGAAGGGAGAGTCATGGTTGTGTCCGTTCAAAAATATAGCTTGCTGGAACCATTTTACCAAGATCTCCTACAGCACCTTTAAGGATAAAATCCTAATCACCATCTTCTCATTTCCCACTGTAAAAGTATGGTCCATAAAAAAGGCCAAAAGTTGTAGCACTCAGGCCAAAGGTTTTCTAATTTGTACAAGTAGAACTAATTGTAAGAAAACAATCTTTGAATTTATTTACACTTGTTCACATTACCACCAATTGTAAAAAAGAAGCACAGGCGTCATGTGATAAGCATTTGACAACCGGTATGTCAGGCTTTTTTTTTTTAGTGCCACAGAAAGTCATCTGATCAGTCAACTGGCATCCATGCGGTTAAGTCTCTTTAACATCACCAGACAACTCGTATCAACAGCTAATAAGAGACAGAGGAGTAAAACATGTATGGTTCTTGCCAATAGGTCAAACCGCTTTACAGTATTTAAATACACTGAAGGCTAAAGTTTTTATATTTGTTTTCTCATTTAAACAGAGTACCTTCCGCAACATGTTTGAATTCTTCTGGCTTTCTTTAAACAATGTCTTTCTGCTTTCTCCAAAAAGAAAATAATACATGCAGGATGTGGGTTACAAATATATTTACATTATTATTCAGATAAAATTTTGAAAAAAAAAAACATGAAGGCCTCCTTTTCCATTCTACTTCCCTATTATGTACTTTATGTCCTCTAAGTAGCAACATCACTGAAGTTTATAGTTTTACTGTGAGCAGATATGATCAGGTTAAAGGGCAGAGTTTCTTCGAAAGGCAAATATTATAAATAAAATATTGTTCTTTATAAAATGTGGGTGTGCAGATGCTTAAAGAAATAACAAAGCTAAATTTGATGTGTCTGCAGATACCAGATTCGTATGGACACTTTCTAATCACTCCTTATTTAATAAGGTCATCTCACCTTAGTGGTGGCAGTCAGGACTGCTTTATGTAAAAAGCTATAATTTGCTGAGTGGATGACATAAAAATCCAGTAAATCGGGCATCATCCAACCAGACAAAGGAGCCCGATTTGCTTTTAATTACAGAACCAAAGTATAAAACACAAACCTCTGGGCATCAGGTGGACCACCAGCCCCTGTGCCAGCAGCATCTGTCCGCTGCGCAGCATGCAGCCCCAGCCACAGTCCGTTGTCCAGGTAGAGCCGTCCAGTGGAGGGAACTCCCTCCGGTAGGTCAGCCATATTCTGGACACAAAATCCCGACGGAACCTCTCCACCTCATCTGAGAGGGTAAAAATTAAAAAGAGGGGTTTTTAACTAAACAAAACAAGTAAATTAACTAAATTCAGCTTCTTAATAAGGTCATGAATCTTCCATAAGAAACAGTCTGCAAACATACCTTCACTGTTGAGCAGATAGGAGTGTCCCAGAATAGTAACAGGAGACACTTTATTGAAAGAAGTTTTTGTCTTAATAGTCCAACCTGAAAATGACAGAGAAACCTGTGTGATCTCAAAAAGCTCACTGTGCTGGTCTAAACTTTAGCGGAGATGATGTTACACACCATATTTAACGTTGTTCCATGCAGACATCAGTTTGGCCTTTACTTTCTCCATCTCATCAGGCTCTCTGGCTGCCTCTCTGCTGGAATCTGAAGCTTGAGGCGTTCTGAATCCAAAGCTGCGCTGCCGCTCCAGAGGCGGCTGCCTCCAGCTCTCCACCTGCTCATCCTGCATCACTAAGCCCACGTACTGCGCTGCACTGGGGGACACCGAGTTCATACCCTGATCCCTCAGAGGTGGACCCTGCAGCTCCTCATCGCAACATGGAACTAAAAGGGAAGAAATAAGTTAAAAAATGCCACCTATTTAATTTCCCTTTGGGATCAATAAAGTATTTTTAAGTTTAATCATAGTAGAAAAAATAAATCTATCTGAAAAAATATCCATATCCTGTATACGAATTAAAGTACTTTTACTTAGATGGAAGATAATGTGGTGGAGAGACCAGAGTTTAATCCAGGTATGCAGAGTAGAAAGAATCACACACAGCTGCACATTGCTGGTCAGCTGCCCAACTGTGACTTTACGAGTTTTATATCAATTGTTTTTACTTTTATTAAATATCTAAAATGTATATAAGCGTATATATAAACTTCACCAAATATCATAAGTTTTTACTGGAATGTATTTTGTTTCTTTTTTTTTTTAGGTACTGGAATTATTTTGTATCAACCATATTAAAAAATTTGATATTAGTTTTGGTCATATTGTGTAATTAAATGTTATATTTTTAGAAGAATGGAAGCTGAAATTCCAATTATATTTCAAAAGGTTTTGTACTGCATTTGAAGGGTAAAAATGTTATATTTCTTATAATATAAAAGGGACATAACCTTTATGACGTTTAAGTTAAACTGCAATTTATCAGAACGGAGACAAGAAAAAAATTAACATTACTTGTTTCTTTTTTTAAAAGCTCCAAAACTGAAATGAAATAATAGTGGCTCTTAACAAAAGACATGCTTTGACCTGAAGTGAGGAAATGCATTTAAGCCCTATATTTAAAACCCTGATGTTGTTCCTATGTATTAATCTTTACTTTCTTTGTTTCTTTTCATTTCCTTTTCTACTTACACTGCAGTGTCCATAAAATCTATAAACCCCCCTGCATGAATTATAATAAAGCAATTTATATGCATAAATCAAGTGGAACACTATGGCGATAGCCGTACTGCTCCACTTGTCAAAGTAAAATCTGTTGGGCTCTTTTTGGCATCAAGACAATTATTCTTATTGCCACATTGCCAGACAGGACACTGTTAAAAAATAAAAAAAACACTGATGCTGCTCCTATGTATTAATCTGTGCTTTCTTGGTCATTATTTGAAAGGTCTTGAAGTAATCTTCAGTTGGTTGTTTTTGACAATTAGCTATAATTAGAAGTATATACATCTATTCAAATAAAGAGACTGGAAAACCATTTGAAGAACTAGAAAACTTTAGATTGATTGTAAATTTAAAGAGGAAAAAAAGAGCTAGAATGGAATTTAAATAACTTGCCTGAATATTAACTATAACAGCCACACAATGAGTGTAAACATGAGTAGAATTTAATGGATTATTCCCAAAGAATTGCACAATAAATGATTGTCCCACCCTGAAACTCATGAGTAGTAGTTTCAATAAGGAACATACAGTTGTACAATGCTTGAAAAGTAAAAAAGAAGCACAGGCGTCATGTGATAAGCATTTGACAACCGGTATGTCAGGCTTTTTTTTTTTTTTTTAGTGCCACAGAAAGTCATCTGATCAGTCAACTGGCATCCATGCGGTTAAGTCTCTTTAACATCACCAGACAACTCGTATCAACAGCTAATAAGAGACAGAGGAGTAAAACATGTATGGTTCCTGCCAATAGGTCAAACCGCTTTACAGTATTTAATTACACCGCAGTATGGTCTTACGACATTAGGTCCAACCCGGACCTCTTTAAAAGCACCCTTTATGTAAAGTGTTTCAGTTGGGGACCTACCTGTCCGAGCTCCGGGTTAAGCAGATCGGTGTCTGTTCGCACATTAACTCATTTTGGTGGCTTCCTCGAGCCTTTGACTGAAACTAGAAATAATAAGCTAACTTTAGCGCTAGCCCCGGCGTTAGCTTGGTGACATTTATAAGCACGCAACAAGCCTCGTTATATTCCAACAAACCACAGAAAAAAAAAACAATTCGGAAGCGGTCCTCCCTATAAAAAAAAACAAAGCAGGATATTTTTATAGCTTAATAAAACCACAGCAACACTGCCCGCCCAGCTACCTGCCCCCAGCTTCTGGGTCCCTTATCGGTCACAATATTTACTTCCTGTTGTCCTTTTTTTTTGTTTCTACGTGATTGGTTAAAATAACAATAACGAGAAAGCTGATTCGCTGGCTATCTAAACACTGACTTCAGACCTTCTCATTGGCTAACGTTAGCCAATGAGAGTGTTTGAAGGCTGTCAGAAGGCCAACGTTAGCCAATGAGGGTGTCTGAAGCCACCCGCATTGAGTAAAGGCGGTACTTTAGCCAATAACTAAAACTCATACTCTGAGATTTATTATATGCCTTATATGTGCTCATTTTAAAACCAAACTGAATCTGCTATCAAGAGAAGTATGTTATAAAGAAAAAAGAATAACCATAAAAGTTTGTCAAGGTTTTTAAAGATGTATTAACGCCCCAGAAAATTACCATTTTGTGGTACAAAACCTTGATTGCAATTGAAATGAAAAGAGGATCACAGACTACTCCATAATTGTGAGGATACCTGGTTTATATGAGTATCAATATGGTGTTCCCTTGAGAAAAGATCCATACAGGGATGCGGGATAAAAATAAACAATGGAATACTCAAGTATATAGAAAAAGTCACTGAAGCAGCAGCTATAAAAGCATCAGTCCATCTTCTCCCACTTCTGGTGCCTATCTTCTGCAGTTTAAGGTTGACAGACAGGGTACACCCTGGATAGGTTGCCAGGCAACACAGAGACACACAACCATGCAACACACACTAACACTTAAGGACAATTTAAAGATGGCAATTAACCTAAAACATGTTTTGGATAATGGGAGGAAGCTGGAGTACCCGGAGAGAACCCACACATGCACAGGGAGAACATGAAAACTACATGCAGAAAGACCCAGGGCTGGGAATCAAATCATAAAAGCAACAGTGCTAAAAACTGCTTCTCCGTGCATCCTGCTATATATATCAGTTAAGATAAGCTAAGCAACAAACCAAACCCGGATACCTTTTAAATGTCTGAATGATGGCCTGGATGGGCTGCCTGGATCTCCTCCCTGATGGTGAGTAGCTCAAATTCATCATGAAGTGGCTGAATTGAAGAGTGAATTATGGGGTCTGCCTTTTATAGGACTCTCTTCTTAAATGGCTAATATAACTCCTATAATTGTAGCAGCTTTTTGTAGAATTTGCTTGATCCTGTTCTTGTCTCAAACAGACTCCCAAACGAGGTAATAAAAGTGAAAGTGAGGACAGATTCTATCAAAGTTACAGTAAATGGTCCTCAGCTTTTTACACACTTTAAACATTTAATTTATTGGAGGAAGTGGCATCTGTGGTGAGTTTTTTTACTCCTTTCATCTGTATTTTCACAGAGCGGGAACTCATTGATGACAACCCCCAGATATTTATAGGAAAGAACCCTCTCCACAGGTTCATTTTTAGTGAGAAAAGAAGATTCTGTAGTCGGCTTGATTCTAAAATCTGTATACGTCTATGTTTAAGAGACTATTAAGGTAAAATATATCACACTGAGAAATGAAATCCTCTATTACCTGACCAGGTGGGTTCGTCCTCTCCCTGTAACAAAATGATGATAAGTCTATCATCTGCAAATTCTAGGATATGTGTATCTATATACTGACTCCGGCAATCTTTAGTGTAAAAGATATACAGCAGGGGAGACAGAACACAGGCCTGAGGAGAACCAGTAGAAAATAAATGTCTAAAATGAGATAACCATCAACTCTGACACGCTGTGATCTATTTACACGGAAGTCTCAGACCCCTCCAACGATAGCACACAAGTTAAAATCAATCAATAATTTACCAGCTGAAATGTTGGGCTGGATTAAATTAAAAGCAGAGGAAAAAAATAAATAAGTGAGCGTATTTGCCAAGGCCATCCAGTGCTTAAAAATCCAATTAAGAAGTGTTATCAACCTCTCTATTCCACCTATAGGCAAATTATAAAGTATTCAATTTGTCCTCATCTGAATCAAGCGACTTCTTAATTTGTTTTTCAAGGGTTTTCATAATTAAAAATGTGAGAGCCGCATTTCTGAAAATTTTTTGGCCTTAGGGGACTGTTCTTTGGTACAGGAAGGATTATAGAGCTTTTTCACAATGCTTGAACCATTTGCTGCCCCCATGAGTGCTTAAAAAATATAATGAAAAACACAAGAATTTGGTCTGCATAGTGCATAAGAAGGCCCCCTGAAATACTATCTGGAACTGGGCTCTTGATGATTTTAGTCATACTAAGCACTTCCTTAACACAGATTCCACAGAAAGGGAAGAACTATCTTTATATCTCCTAATTTTGATGAGTCATATTTAAATTATAGTCTTAAAAGTGCTGAAAACATGGAAGCATAACTCAGATGAGTTTATACTGGGTAGAGCCAACTTTCACTGGAAGGATGTTTCTAGTCCTTGTTCTCTTTAAAACACCACCCTTCTTTGCAAAATAGTTAATCATCATTAAAATTGGAAAATCATTGGTGAACATCAGTTCTCAACAGTTTGTAAATATTCCACATTGACAGCAGCTTTGGAATCTGACTAGTCCAGTCCAGGGGTCTGCAATCTGTGGCTATTTAGACCCTCGGCAATGGCTCTTCATTACTTTGGCTAAAAATGATAAAGAGCCAGTTAGTTCTTTAAAGTAATTTAAATGCATTCATTTACAAAAAAAAAAAAAAATGAATAAATACACAGACATATATTTTTGATCTTTTAAAATTAGGAAAAATTAAGGATGTTTTTGTTAAATCATTTTCCACAAACACACATTTTATTCCTGCCTTTGAAAACCCAACATTTGAAATGGCACAGTGGTTATTTAAAAATGAAAAATGTCCTGTGGTAGACATTTATCAAATACAAGTCATCTTTAAATTTTTGTTCAAAAAATAAAAAGGTAATCAACTATTTGCAGCTTTTTACAAGTTGAATTGGCTGGGATAATATCATAAAATGGGTCTATGAATTGTGCAGGCAGCAGACCTCTGGACTAGACCTTAACATTAACATTTGGATCTATTATTGTGGCTCTGCCTAAATGTTGTGTCATCCTGTGTTAGAAGCAGCACAACTGCTCGTCTTTTTTCTAGGATTGTTTCATCAACTCCATCAATCAAAACAAAAAGCACAAAGCTGCCTCAACTATATTTTAGGTTAGGAGACGTACCGGTATAAAAATGCACTCTTCATTTTCCTACAGACATACTATCTAGCAAGCAAGTTAAAAAGAGTTAATTTTCGTTCGGATGGACCTTCTTTTACGTGTGTCCCTCATATAGATTCTTGACAGAAGGTTCCAAGATGTTTTCTGCAATCTATATAATTTTTCGAGGGTTTAAGACCAATAGTTTATTTTCCTTTTACCATATTCTTCCAACTTAGAAGGCAGCTTTTCTCCTCCCCTCCAAAAGTATCTGGGCTTCTTAACTGCGTCTCTGATTATTCCTTTCCTTACACACCCCGACAGTTTAGGCGTACATGCAGATCTTACTTTGTAATGTAATGTGTGCCACATTCTTGGTTTTTAAATGATAAACCCTAATAGTGGGAATGTCACAGTGGGCCTCAAACAACATGGATTCTAAGTGTCTTCAATCTCCCTCCAGACTCTGAGGCATTGATTTAAGAATTGACTGCTTCACCTAAAACAAGACTTTCAAAATACTGATGAAGATTCTCAGTCATCTAGGTGTTCATCATCCATGTTTCCAAGCAATACAAAGCCTTGTCTATATAAAGCCTCAAACTCACTGCGAATTCAGACATTTGAATTGAGAAAGCTTCCTGGACAGGAAGCAAAATGTCTTCAAACCTTGGAAACCAAGTCCAGTGGATTGTTTTGTTTTTTTTTACTTTTACGGAATGACTTTCGAAATCTCTTTTCTTCTGGGAACATGATTTTGGACCACTGAGCACTGTTCCATCCCTTTTCTGTTTTGCCTAAACCTTAGTTATTCCTTTTTTTCTTAGAAGTAGCTGTAACAAAAAGAAGTATAAAAGTTGTAAAACATCTCTTGGATATGTCTGTTTAGCTCTAATGGCTGTCTTAGTCCATGTCATGTAAAGCCAAATAAACAGCTTGAATAGACTTTTCTTCAGAGTCCTCTCAGCTATACTTTTTTCTTCCTCTAAACTTTCCACCAATAAACTTGAGATTGTATTTTCTTTTTTATTCTCAGTCTATATTAACTTACATGGACTGAAAAGAATCTAAATCATGTTTGGTTCATCGCCTTTTTAAATTGAGTAACTAAAATGATATTTAGCAATACTTACATCGACCTGTAAATGATCCTGATTACATCTGACACAGTTAGGGAGAAGTTAAAAACAAATATCAGAAGATCAATAAAGATAAATGAAAATGCAAGAGAATAAAAGTTGCAGACAGAAGGAAGGAAGGTTTCAGAACAAATCTCTTCACTTTATTCAACATACTGCACTTCAGGTGTCTGCATCTACCACAAACAAAAATACCCCAGTGGAACAGCTAAACACACTGAGTGAACAGAGAGGAGTGGAATGTTATACTCGGATTACTGTGATACATAGATATCTGTTAGCATCTGGTAACCTTAAAGCATTGCCAATAACAAAGATAATCATCTCTCAAATAAAGTGCTTGGATGGTATTCTCTCTGTCAGCATAAAAATACAAAAACCTTTTGGAATAATGATAAGGCCTGATTATGTAAAAAAGAAAAAACAATCTTTTACTTTTATCAGATCAGTTATTGACAATGTTTTGATTGTTACATTAAGATATAGGAAGCAGAACTTCCTGACAGAATTATGCATACATTATATTCAACAACTGCATCCAAATATAAAGGTAACAGTCACAAGAAGAACATCAGGGAAAATTTTCCATTCCAAGTGTTCAGTCGATAGTTGCTGCAGGTTTTCGTTTAGAAACATGAATGCATATTTTAAACAATGGTTGGTTTGTAGCATCTAACCTGCAACAATTCAGTGATCTCAGCATTTTTAAACATGCTCAACAGTCGTCGCTAGGAAACCAGTAGGTGGCAGTAGAATACTACATGAATGTAAACTACAAAAGGTATGCTTTGTGAAAGACAGAAATCAGATTTACTTTACTGTGGCATCCAGCAAATTTATCTCTGGTTGGGAACCATGAGGCTACCAAAGTCCTATAGAATAACAGCTGAAAACAGGAATTTAAACATAAAAGTCGGCTTATAAACACTGCACGTTTTGGTTAAATTCATATGCCACTCATGGTTGATTGGATGTTGGATTTTTTTGCATAAGATAGGTTGAACTAATTCCAGTAAATCAAAGAGGAATTGCACAAATTACACACAAAGAATACGTCCTTAAAATGGGTAATGATTCCTTATGAGGTCAATATGATTGAAATATTTCATGCATCTTTTGCATCTAATTGAGCATTTTTATTCAGACACGGTTTCATGTCCGACGCTGCTAACATGACACAATTTTGTTTTCAGTGGCAGTACTCATGCCCTATGAAGTTTTTCACATTTTGCATTGTTACATTTCTAAACTGCAATGTTTTTATTTTATGTAATATAACAAAATAATGTACAAAATGGTGAAGCGGAAGGAAATATGATACGGACGAGTTTGATTAATAACCTTAAAGGTGTGTTTGTCTATCCTAGTCCAACCAATGAAGTCCGAGGTTAGCATAATGATTTGTTTTTAAGAGTCAATGAGAACATTCAAGGCTTGAATGAAAAATCACCAGTAAGTATGAAGGTAGAAAATCAATTTTTTTGGAGAATATCAATTAATTTTTAAGGTTATGAAGACTTCAGGAAGTCCAGAAAATGGAAAGGGGATGGGATGGGCTGACTGTAAACCAACTAACCAACAATAAAAGGCCAATCAATAATCTGATTTATCCAAGCAGCTGCTAACAGGGACTAATCTGGGCTCTCCAACCTGCTACTGACTAATATGGAGGAAAGTGACAGCAGTCGGGGGTTCAGTTTTCTAGGTTTTATTCATGTCTCTCATCAGATAGATGCTCTGAAGAGGTGCATTGTGGGTCTCTACCTGCCCTTTACTGCTCTTGTGCATAAACTTTGGCTGGATTAAATAGTCAATCATTTGAATTAATTTGAATTGAAATGGTCAACCACACAATAAGGATTAGGCCATGCTTCTGTAAACAGCCCTGTAACAAGTAGGCAACATAATTCCCTACATGTTAAGCCTGAAATGATAAGAAGGGACAGAAAAACAAGACACCAACAGGTCTATGGTAGCTTTGGAGGAGCTGCAGAGATCCACTGCTAAACTCAATCTGAATTATTCTTAATGTACTTTACAAGCCCGACTATTATGGAGGAAGCAGAAAGCAATAAGAAGTCATATTTAAATTTGCCACAAGGCACATTGGGACTGTAAGAAGGGTTTCTGTCAGTCAGGAAAAACCAAAATGGAGGAAAGACATGAAAAACGCTGTTTTGTCAGCTTTTTCTTTCTTTTACAGCAGAGCTACAACTATGAGAATTAAATAGGTTTGTTAGTACGACTTAAAGGCCATATCCACCCTGGATAATTATTGTTTGTAAGCTCTGCATCTTAAATGTAAGTTGTGCTGGTTTGCAAAGGTAAAGCAGGGAGTGACATACGGCAAACAACTAACAAGTGTAACTGCAGTGACAAGCGGTTCTGAAAAGTATTGATTTAAAGGAGCTGAATACAAAGGAAGGGCACACTTTTCTGATTTAATGATGGAAAACATGTTTTTCCCCCTTTCACGTCAAAAATTTTGCTAGTTTTTTTTTTTTTTGTTGTTGTGATGCAACAAAATGTGTAAAAGTTCAGTAGATAGTTGATGTTGAGCCACTGTCAGATGATTCGTTTGTCCCGTGAGAGATCATCTGAATTTTGACTTAGGTAACAATCTTTAATTCTTCTGGTGTTGCACTAAACTGCTGCTTTGATTTGGCCAAAAAAAGAAAAACAACAAGTTTACTGGACTATTTCAGTTCTATCTGCACAACCTGTACTTTAGCCGCAGAGCCCTTCAAGTTAAATATGCTACATCATGAACTGCCTGGCTGAAAACTCTTCACTTTACTCAATACATGTGCTTATATGATATATAAGTATTCTACTCTTCCTACAGTCTTATCAGCCTGCATTGTGTGTGTGCGATAAGTCGATTAGAGGTTTTTAATCCTTCTTGTGTCCCAATTATCCCTGGAATCTAACTACAGATTTCCAGGCTGCCTTCTGTCACGCCGCCTTAATGAGCATAATGGCTCCCAGAAACCACAAACATGTGTTCAACCTTTTTTCAGACACACCTGTCTTCTGCTTCACAGACCACAACAGGAGTATGGATTAAAAGAGTATTAAATCAGCTGCTGACAGAGCTGTCTCCTGCGGCGATGTAAATGCTTTCTGAGTGTTTGTGCTTCTGCGCATGGCTGGACGGAGAGGCTGAGGGAGAAGAAAGGCTGCTGTGGCCTTCCTGTGAGAGCGAGATAAGCACTGAGCCCCGAGTTCAGTCCTTCTCTTTCTCCTCTGGTGCTTTCCAGAATCCTTAGTACAGGAGGACAGGATAAACACACACAGTTATGACAGACAGGTCCTAATGTAACATCCGCTGACAGAGGATCGCCGTGGCTTCGGCTGACCGTTCAGGGAATGAGGAAACAGGCCTAACCATGCCTCTGCTTTTATCCAGACGCCAAACCGATGCTGTGTGCAATATGTACTGCTCGGAGCAAATACTACAACTTGACTGATTCACTATACGGTTTGAACAACAAAAAACCCATCCTGGTTTGGTAAAAACAGAGTAAAAGAATTTGGTATTCACAGTATTCAGCATGTTTTGATCAGTAAAGCACTTTTTGACCCTCTTGTACCTATTATGCACGTACAGTACATAGCATGCATTCACATTGACCCACACACATAGATATATATCTGATAAAGTGTTCCACTTTACGTGACTATGTGTCTTTATAAAGTATGCATCATAGAAAACCAACAGTTAATGCACCTTTACGGGTTTTTCTTTTTTTTTCTGCTTTTACATTAGAATTTTTCAAGGATTTAATTAATAAATAAGACTTTATATACTATGAAACTGGAATGTACATCTTTAAGTGCCGTTTTCATTTTGTCCCTTCCAAAAAATGTTTTTAGTATATTCTTCTAGTGTCTGACTTAATTTGAAGATCCCGGGAAGAGGGGGGTCACATTTTTGGAAGGTTCCCAGGTGCTGCTTTTTCAAGCGGAGAACTGCCAGGACTTTGAGTCACCACTCGAGCTCCTGCAGGAGGGTCCAACTTCCCAGTGGCAGCCCCCTGCTTCTCCTCTGATGCCTTGTTCTGCTGCTCTTTATTCTTGGCCCCCTCTGTAGAGCCCAGCTTGATTGGTCCGAGGACATTTTTGGCCACGGTTGTGAGCTGGCTGACGAAACTCGTCTTGTCTCCGGGGGAAATAGGCCGCGACTTACAAAGCGAAGGTCCACAGAGAGAGGGCGTGACAGCTGTTGGGGAGGGGGACGGAGAGGGCGAATGCTCCTCCACCACTTCCAGGCGACATTTATCTTCCCAGTCCAGAGTTCCCCTGTAACAATTAACGGGACCCAACCCTTGCCTCACTTTGCCCATTGAGAGCGGCGGCCCATGTGAGGGAACCACAGGAGCCAGAACCCGAGCTTGCAGTTTTGGGCTTTTGGAGCCCAGCTCTGCAGTTCTTGAATCATTGTTGTCAGACTTCCGCTGGTTGTTTCCGATACCTGATGACTTATAAGTCTTATTCATGGTCAGAGAAGCTCCTGTTTTGATTGCGGTTGATTTTTCCAAGGTAGAAGAGCTCTTATTTAAGGCAGCAGTTGTCAGACAGGATCTATCTTTGTTTTCTACCTCTTGCTTTGGCTCAGGTTTCCCTCCTTGTTGCTTGAGCTGGAGATCTTTGCTGTTTTTAACTTCTAGTTGTGCAGGAGGTGTGCCTGCAGTTTTGATAGGAGAACCAGGAGTTGTGGATTTTCTGTTTTCCTCACTGTGTTTGGAGTTCATGCTAATGTCACTTGAATGAGATTTTCTCACCAAAGATGACTGTGACCCTGGCCCACTTGCCTGATTTATCCCCATCTCTCTGTCTTTTTCCCTTTCTCTCCCTCTTTCTCTCTCTTCCCTTTCCCTTCCAGCTAGCAGAGTCTCCCTGCTGAGGGGTGACTCCTGTCTCCCAAGCCTCCTTACAGGCTTCAGCACACCAGTCTCTGGGACAGTGGAGGAAACTGGCGGTGTTGGAACATTGGGAGGCAGGTTCTCTCCTTCCGTCTCCATCAGGCTCTGGAGTCCAAGCTCACAGAGGAAGGCATCTTTGCGGTACTCAGAGTGCTGCACCTCTAGGCTGTGCTTCCTCAGCGGACCTCCAAGTCCTCCGGTTGAACTGGACTGGGTCAGAGGAGAGCCGAGCTTCTCTGCAGACTGCACTCGCTTAAGGAGAGGTGACCGTGGGGGCTCTGCGCTCTTTGGCCTGGGTCGGACCACTGGTGGCGAGGAATGGAGCTTTGCAGAAAAAGACTGTGTCGTGTTTGAACTTCCTATGGTGTGGCCTGGCATAGCAGGAGGGGAAGACTGGGTAGGGGAGGGTGTGTGTGCCAGAGGGGACAGAGGGATGTTTCCAGCAGATTTGCAGCGGGCAGAGCGATACTGGCGGTGAAGTTTTGGGGAAAGGCCATGCAATGAGCTGGGCCTCATGTGCTGAGAGGGAGAGGGTGAGTTTGGAGTGCTGGAGGCAGGAGAGCTGCTCTGGGAAGAAGCTCCTGAAAAGGTCAGCAAAGACATGGGAGGAGGAAAAGTTCAAAGTCGCAGTATGAAACCTGGATAAAGCTCACGTATAATTTAGCTGCTGGATGATTAAACAATGCCACGTACCGAGGTAGGAGGGCTCGGGCGTCGAGCGGTGGGCCTGAGTCGGAGACCTGGCAGACAGGCTATGAGTCGGGGAGCCAGGAAGACTCTCACTGGAGGATAGTGAGCGATTTAAAGAGGAGAGACTGCGGCTGGTGTGGAGGAGGTTGGACTGCTTCGTGATCTTACGGAACAAGGAGCTGCGCTTCTTACTGCAAAAAGGGACAGAAAATAGAAACAAATACGAGAAATTCAAAGGTTCAATTAGAAAATAAACATATCTTTAATGTCCTATAATTCAGAAATTGTTGTGTTACAGCAGCAAAAGGTTACAGCAGCAAAAGCTTAAAGCACTTTCTAAGGTCCACATTGTTTATGTGCTGTACTGTACAGTTTGTTTTACAATATAAATGCTCTATCTGGAGAGTAAAATAATAAATAAACAGCTGTGGACATTTTTACAGTAATAGATGTGAGAAAAACAGCAGCATAATCAGAGATGTGCAAAACTGTAAATACACAGTGCGTCCACATGATCCTGTGATACACTTTAAACTCATGAGACTGAGATCCAAGATTTAAAATCTTGGTTTAAAATCTGGAAACTCCTCATTAGTTAAGAGAGTGTAAAGCAGGCCGGTGTTTAACTCCAGTGAAGTGGAGGAGCTGTGTTAAAAGTTCCCCAAATTTTGAAGAAAGCCACGTTGAGTCTAGTGACTGACAAAGAGTCTGCTATATGACATTGGTCATCTT